GCTATTATATGGATGCCATTCGTTTGAATGGTCATGTATGGATCAATTGTCTCTCGCCCGGTAAGTGTGAGTTGTGAGAGCATGACCGACCGTCCAACTATCGGTCTAGGGAAGAGTTAGGCGTGATTCTTGGAATATTTACATGTTACACACATGTATATATGAAGGTACTTAATTATGAATATATTTATCGGGTAGCTATGGATGTCGAAGTATATACATCTGGGATGTATATATGGAGAGTATCTTAGTTCTTTGCTTTCATTGTATGCTTATTTATCTCTTGTGGGGATGGGCTGCAATGAATTTGCTTGCAGTCGCTAACCACGAATCGTAGATTGAATGTAGCTAACGACTAGCTATATATCGAGAGAGTCGTGTTATGCCACCCGACATAGAACATGATTGCCACCTTAAATTTGGCAATTTCGTGAGGACGAATAGGACGAGCATGCATCATGATTGTGCTTGTGCATAAATATGCTTCCCTCACCTTGTCCTAATGCTAAGTAACTTGTGATCAATGTGATGTCACTATTTTCCCCTGTGAAAGCTAGACAAAATGTCTTGTCCCATCTTTGCTTGAATAGCTATGCTTGAAGATAGTGTGTGATTAGCTCGTCTTGTATGTATGCGCGTCCAAAGGAAATAGATGACAAGTTATTAATTAGCAAAACTTCACCCCTTTGAAAACTAAATTGCTAAATGTACATAAAACTTGTTTTGTAGAGATATCCACCTACTCAGTAAAAAGGGAAATAAAAGATAACAGTACCTTACCACCATGTTCGCATGTTTGTGTGTAGTGGTGTTGTTGTAGGTGACTACTTGTTAGGTGTGAGCTTTGTGCTTAGTAATAGTCGCTTAAGCTAATCGAATTGAGTGTTTCGAAATGCTCGCTTAAGAACATGATATATGTGTGGATGCTCGTTATCTAGGTAGTGCCATAGTTGTCACCCTTTTGTCCTTAGTAAGCATACGAGTGTCAAATAGCTTTATCCTAAAACAACGCTCAAGTTACGTGTCCTCGCACAGTTATGTCGTCTCCAATTAGGTTCTCTCTTGGGAGCTGAGCACAGCCTGCAGGGTTGCTAGCCTTGAACGTTGTGCTACGAAGACTTTATCTATGCCTTTGCTTGACCTTAGGCCCAAGCTTAATTCCCTTGAATGCTTGCATGTTTCGTGGTTGTCCCGCTCCTGTGTGGGAGGACCCTGCTCAAAAATCCTTGTTGGACCTTATTGCTCTCTCTCCTACTGGTGAGCTAGTGAAACGCTAATCGCTATCTATTTTAGCTTTGGAACCTTTTCCTCACAGATCATGTCATTGCTTTATCAACTCAATCCCTAGTTAGTGCAATGGCTCCGTCCCTCGAATCTCGTGTATTTTGTCTCCAACTCTTTCAAGTCTCTGGATGTTTATCAGTCTTGATCTCATGTTGTTGCTCGCCAAGACCAAATCTTATGTTAATCTTTATCTGGTAATCACTTTGGTGGACATGAGGCGTTTATGGAAATTAAGCAAGAGTCTCCTGCTTAGTTGCCTTCAGCAATTAGGCTATGTTCTTTTGCGCTGTGTTTTGATCTTCTGATCGCCTTCTTGTTGATTCCTAACCTTGTGACTATCCTTGTTTGCTATCCCTCTTTTGCACAATGTTTGTTCTTACAATCTAATTGGTGCCACTGGAAATTTCACTTTGGTTGTATGTCCAGTAATGGTGCCACGATTAGCGATCTACGGTGCCTCGACGGAACCTAGGGCCTCCTTGTGGGCGGCCGACGCATGGTTGTCTTCTTTGAGTGCTTGTATTTGGTATCGAGGTTTCTAGTCATGATCCATTGCGAACTGCATCGATGTGTTATTTTCATGTGAGCTCTTCCTTGATTATCTCTCTATATCTTATCGAAGATCCATATATCAGAACGAAAGTAGTAGAGCTTCCTGTTGAAGTCACAAAAAGGATAACCTTTGAAGAACTGGTCACCGACATAAACATTAACCGACTACAAGAAGTGATAGACAAGTGACTCCACTTGGTTGTCCCAGTATTGACGTCCGTCACCTAGTGAACAACTTATGTCATCACTGTTGGATCAGAAGGGCACACAACACCTAATGTTGGAAAAGTTGTTAGTCAGATAAGAATCGAGCGTCACATTATGATTATGACCTGGCTATCCAAGTCTTGATTATTATGTGCATCTTGATCGCACGCAGTCGAGATCAACAATCTCTAGTGTGACTCCTTGTCCATGAGACTTCGATGGCGACCGTCTGTTTGTGCCTCGATTGCAATTATTGTTGTGGTCAAGAGTAAGAATTTGGAATTTTGAGTGTTGAGAGACAATTGATTTGTTACCCATAGTAAAGTTAACCTCCAACTAGGTGACAACTTTTGCTAATTACAAAGGCTATGTCTCGCGAAACAATGTTAAGCAATATAATAGCAAGCCGTTTAGCAATGCAACTCTTGCTTTGTTTTCAAAAACACATGCTATCAAGTCAATTCCTTCTTGGATAATCACACCGATAGTACAAAACGTTGTATCGGCTTTCGTGAAGGAACTAGAGAAAGCATGTGCCTAGTTTGATCAGCATCATTGTGCCCCTAGGTACCACAAACGGATTTGTTCAAGGTTCTATTGGATCAAGTGCGGAGAATATTCAAAATGGTTCCTTGTCTCTGTAGGAATGCCCTACCTATGGAATCTTGCCTTGTGCCCTGCAAAAACAGCCCACACTTCCAATGCTTGTGCATCATCAAGTTGGTGTCTAAATCAAACGATTTAAGTTGTTTCACGAGAGCCACATGTGGAAAACCTTAGTCTACATCCTCAAAGAAAAGAGCTGCTGCTGCTATACAAAGATATCAAGAGTATAGAACGCACACCATAACGTGTGAAGCTTAAAGACAGTAGAACGAGAAATCTGTCCAGATTTTAGGGTACAAAACCGGTTATCTTCAAGCCCGGCGATTAGTGACTCAAACGAAGTTGGATTGACCCCAAACTTGGTGATCTCATTCCTTGCTTAGGAAACTTCAATGTCTTGAGTTGGTTTGAGTATTGGTTGAGTAAAACATCGGATTTGAGAGATATCTTCTCGGCTCGGTTTGCTGCCATTTCAGAGCACAGCAGTTTTGGTAACCGTATTGTTTGGATAGTCAAACAGTGTCCGTTTGAGCTGAATTTTGGTGAGCGGTTAGAGGACTCATGGATCTATGTTTCTACCAAAATTCATGCACAATGGAGCACTAGTTTGTGAAATATGAACAGAAAACCAAAGAGTACATAATCTGTAATTTTTTTGTGACTGCGATCATCCTTCGCATTCAAAAGTTGTGTTTGCAATTGATGCCAAGGTATGTAACGTGATCAAGAATTGTTGCTAGATAATCCTTTAGATGCCCTAAAGAAGACTCCTTGGACCCCTTTGTACCTTGTTCTTGGACTCTTCTATCAACAATGTTCAAGCAATCAAGGTGTTCTATGAGTCAATTTGTACCCTTGCAACTCGAAAGCAATTTGAAAGGTGTCAAACAACAGATTTCAAAATTGTAATTTGGAGATATTGACTGACATTAGAAATGAAGCCCAAATGTCAAAAGTAGTTCCACAAAAGATAGTTTTGATATAGTGCAAGTCAACTCAACGTACTGAGCAACTACAACATGAAGGAGAATCATACTCAAAATGCTTGGTAGGGAACTATTTCCCTAGTTTGAGGAAATACTTGCAACTTTTATTGTACTCTAGGTCTCGCTGTCCATCATCCTTGGCAATGTTTACCAATGCTGCCTTGTCATTTGGTGTCTTCCATGTGTTTTACCCAAGGTGATTCTATAGTTACTTCTCATCTATATGCTTTTGTCGGGTGATGTCACTTATGCTAGCAATGTATTTGAAACATATATTAATGTAATCTTTTGAAAGCTATGTTGTTTTCACTAGTCGGTTTTGAAACCCAAACTTGTACTTTTAATTGTGAACCCATTTGTAATATTATTTCCGCTGCAACCCTGTGTATGTGATGTGTATTTGCTTAATCACGCGATCTTGGTTGTGATGTTGATTTACCGAGGTCTTTCGGGACACTCGGCGGACTACCGGGTTTATATGAGTGAAAGTATGTGTGTGTCAACGTGTTAGCGGGCACAGCCGTACTTGATCTTGTATAAATTGGGCGGTTCTGTTACAGAAAGCGTCTAAATGCAAAGTATATTTCATGGATTGCAGCACAAGCCCAAACTAGCAGAAAAAAACTTGGTCCACATCGACACCTTGTCCTCTTTATTTCACACATCAGGGAATATATAGTCATCTTCATTGTAGTCTGGCAAGCGAATATAGAAAATGACGAAAAATTACAAATGACTTGATCCACCTGCAAAACCAAAATGTCCATCACAACACAATCATGCCTCATCTTTTTATGGAAGTACCAGCAACATTTTTCTGTAGGGATGGCAATGAATGGTGCTTGCTTGATCACCAAGCAGTTTTTGTTGTCTCATGTCTTTAATTGCCGTTGCTGTTACTTGATGAGCACAGTAACATAAAGTGAACAAAAATGATTTTGTTTCAATCATACAGAGCACATTTCACAAACCCTTCCACGTTCCATACATTTAAAAATCACTTGCAGAACTGTGCACCTAAAAACAGTGAGATGAAAAGCAGATATGGTTGATTAAACCCCAAAAGACAGGAGACTCTTGACAATACCGATAAGGCGGTAAGTATCAAATGTAGAATGGTAGTTATTTATTTCAGATTTTCTTAAGATAGAATGCAACTTTTGTCCCGTTTTTTGAACAGATACTTATAGAGGCAGCCTTGTTTACGATACTCTTTTTGAACAGTAGAATGGCTAGACATTAGATGAGAAGGAAATGTGAAGGGCAGTAAAACATACCGCAATGGTGATCCGAAAAGGATCAGAATCTCTGTCATGTATATTCAAGATTCCACCGTGATGTTGCTAGCAATGGAAGATTCAGTCATCAATCCATTAGGTAGCATATGGGTTTCAGCTCCATTTTTATTTGCCATGACTCTGCAGAACCTTGTATAGAAGCACCCTCAGTTGAATCAAGCGCATTAAGCAAAATAACTTTTGGTCTGTTGGGATGATTCGCAGCCGCATCTTGCCAGTTTTGTATTGTAGTACTGTTGACCTCAACTCCAGCATCAAGAATTACTTCCCTCAGGTGTGTGAAGTAATTAATTTGTAGACCAGAAAGTCCATTTAGACCATCACAGAGCAGCTGAAGCGATTTGAGTATTGGCATAGCACCATGTTCCATTTTTGGGAGTGTTGGACTTTTCAGGACAAAACGTATGCAGACAAGAGATGGCAATGCATTGCGCTGGAGGACAAAATCATCAAGTTCGCCAGCGATTAGCTTCAGGTACTTTAAGTGTTCAAGAGTACCCAATGCTGTGAGAAGAGCTGCCTTCAGTTTAGTTGATTGAAGGCACAACTCCTTGAGACCACGCAGTCTGGTAACAAATCCGGGCAGTTCCTCTAACATACCATTTAGTTTCAACGACCTAAGATAGTATTGACCTTCCCAGCCTTTTAAAAAGTCTTCTGAGCATGCGTCGAATTGGATTGACAGAGAACGACGGTCCTTTTTGCATCTTTCTCATCACGAATGAACTCTTGTATGGCCTTCTGAAGACTAGTCAGGCTAGTATTGGTCGCAGATGATTCGCACCAGATCTTGACGTTGTGCAATTTCTTCATACGACCCAAAAATGCATCATACCCTACGCGTTCGTCGATAATAAATCCTTTAACCATCTGCAACTTACATTGTTCTGAAGGTATAGCTTTGTCAGGAAGCTTAAACTTTCCAAAAAAGATGAGTTAAATGGGGCAACTGGAAAACTTCCTTTGGCAGGATGTTTATCGCCGTTCTCCTTAGATCAAGTGTCTCCAAAAGTTTCAGATTTTCTATCTTCTTTGGAAGGCTGGTTACATGTACATCGCCCCCCAGGCTAAGATATTTAAGAAGCAGTAGGTTGCATACTTTTTTGACATGATGATTTTGCAAGTCAGTACATTCTTCAAGATCCAAGACTCTCAGCAGTTGGTACCTGTCAAAATTCAACATAGATCCTGCCTTCCCGAAGACTATCAGAGTTCTGACAAGAGATAGATCACTGTCCAAACTGCTACTATCTGATATACTGCTGTCTCGAAGAGAAAGGCAACGATGTTGTGTAGTTTGGAAATTCCCATTACTTTTAGAGTTCTGATAATTGCCATTATCACACAACATAATGAGGTTTTCAGAGAGAGATTTGAACATTACGTACTCATGCATCATGCCATATGTTCTGCATGTCTTCACTGTCTTGTTATTGCTAACCTCAATGGGATGGACAATGCTTCGATCCAGGAGCTCCTCGAAACATTTGTCAGCTGTATCACCCAATGAATTTTCTGGTTCTACAAACCCCTCAGCTAACCATTGCCTCATTATCCTTTGGGGCTTGACTCGATGATCACTCGGGAACATAGCAAAATATAGCAAGCAAGCTTTGATAGCACAGCTTGGTAAGCTGGTGTACTCATGCATAAGCGCCTGATGCACTCTGTCTAAGGAATCGTCGCTCCCCAGATGACAACGTAGCTGGTTGCAAATACCATCCCAGTCAGGTCCTTCCATCAAACTTCTTTTTCGCATGAATTTGCCTACAGTACTCAGTGCAAGCGGTTGACCATCACATATTTTCAATATTGCTTTTGAATCTGACAGTGAGGAATCCGAATATTTCTCCAGATCAGCTGCCTTTAGTAACAATTGCTTTGAGTGATCATCACTAAGTTTGCCCATATTGTACACGTAGTAGTTGGGAAGGCTGCCGAATTTAGCTACACCCTGGATTTTTGTTGTTACCACTATTGTGGTGTTAATATCTCGCGGGAAGGCGGTGATAGCATCCCACTGTTTTGTTGATTGCATGCCATCAGTTACAATGAAGTACCTTTTTTTTTTGAAACGGCGATAGCAAAAATATTAGAAAGCTATTCCACAACCAGCATAAGAATCACTATGTGGGGAAAAAGGTAAGACTTCTTATTGGACTGCATATATATAACATGTTTTGCTGGGCATTTGCATAACCTATATACATGTATTTACAAGTAACAAAATAATGGATTTTTTTGGGTACGAATTAGCCATACATAGGTGCAGAGAAATCCATATTTTATATGCACTAGAAAAGTTGTGCACGATCATCACGTAAAAAAGTTTTATAGCTATCCTAGGGTGTAATACCGTGGCCTGCAATAGCAGTTGGCCCATGTAGCTAATGTGCAGGTGTAGTTGGTGGGTTTAATATCACACTTTGGAGATTTAGGTGAATAAGTGCTAACTTATAATCTTTATTATCGCTCCAAAGTTAACACCTCTATAATGACCCTTTACATAAAGCGAGGGCCACGCAAGGAACTGATTGCCGCCATGGTGCAGGTTGACGGTGAGACCATTTGGCATATTTTTGAACTTCAAACTAAAATGCATTTTGTCTCTCAGCAAGTGTCCATTATGGAAAAGAATTGAATCATTATGTCATTTACAACTGTGATAAAACAAGTTCCATTCTGAACATATCCTGGGCTTTCAGAAAATTTGTCAATTTTAATATGCTTCTAGAAACTACAACTAACCAAAATTATATATCTTTGAGATCCCTCTGTCTATTTATTTTCTAATAACACAGTACCCATATACTCCCTCTATCCCTCAGAAAACTATCTTACGGTTCAAAATTTGTCCTATAAAAATTGCCATTCTACCCACAAAACGGCGGTGGCCCCATATTTATTAATTTCTTCCTTCACATCTCCTTTTTTTTGTGGCGCCGAAGTGTGCATGGTGCCAACTAAGTGTCACCTGATTGTCGTTCTGGTTGATTATATTACCTAAGCGTCAAACAAAAGAAAAAGAAAAGTAAACTATGGCTAATAGACAGGGGCACCCGAGGTCATATCGCCTCTTAGATAAACAGCCTGTTCGCTTGCTCGTAAACGATCGTAAATTTCCAGCCGGGAACAGTGTCTTTCTCTCACACCAAACCAGCCAGCAGTAAATAATCCACGATACGATACGGCCTCCCGAACAGGCTGAAAGTGGGTGTTTTTGTCACCGGCAACTATTGTGGGGCGTTGTGCAAGTAGCAAATCTAGATGAAGCACATAGGACACATGTTTATATTGGTTCAGGCAGAGAATGCTCTAGGACTATTAGGATTGGTTTCTTAGTCCTATTACAATAAGGATCTCAATAGATAGTTGAAGGTATATGTCTATGCCATGTATAGCATGTCGGTCGAGATACCCCATGTACATGTAGGACTCCGGGTAGTCAACTTGCCCCAATCTATGTCTAGAGGGCTGGATATGTCCTCCATTGCCCCCAAGGCCTGAGTGATCAAACTGAACTAGTCTTGATGTTGTCCCGACCTTAGCTATGTACTTTAGTCTCCTCCCTTTGACAAGTATCCCGAGTTATGTCCTCCTAGGTGCTTCTCTTCATTACTTGCACAGAGGTCACAAGGGACTTAGCGAGTACCTGAAGAAAAGATTAGTTGAGTAATATATGCTCATAGGGCAGGCATATTTCACTAAGTGAGCTAATATGGTTTAGTCAGAGTGGTATGTTCCAGCAGATGGTCACCTGGCTAGTGACCTAGCACGCTACCATTAATTTTGACTTAATTTGCATATGATGCCTATTTTCCCCAAGTCGTTCAAGGTTAGCTAGTGTCCTTGTGGAGGAATATATGCCCTCGTAATTTATGTTAGAACACGACAATAGTCTGAAATGTTTGTCCTGAATGGATCAAGTGACTAACTAGTGGCCCACTAATGGAATATTACAAATTTCCTTCACTTTGGGTGTATCCATGTGTTTGGGAACCTGGTTGGTAGTCACCATCAAAACTTTAAGTCAAAACAGGTACCTAAGCTGAAGCATTGCACCGCATGGTACTATTTGCCTTTTATAGGGGAGATGATACAGTACCGTTCACTTGGCTGATAAGCCATGGCTGAAAGTACTGTTCGCTGATTTATTGTGAGAGAAAAATATTGTTCGTTCGCTGAAAAAGTACGGCTTATAAGACAAGCGAACAGGGCCACAAATCATCTTCTTCTTGCCCATGCTCTTTCAACTTCTCTTGCTCTTCTTGCCCGTTTGGTTCTAGCGTGAGCCCGAGTGCTTCAGCATTTGAGTGCTTCAATCTTGAGTGCTTTGAGTTTTCATTTCGCCGTGGGTGCTTCATGTCGTCAAGCCTCAAGTGTCGGTGCTCGAGGTATAGCCCCCAAGGCTCTACCCAATTGATTGATTCAATTAGCGGGTCTTGTGGTTCTTGTAACTTTTTCTATCATGGATGTGTGGACAAAATGCACTCACTAGGTCTATCCACCAAGCTCCCGCTCAATTTTAGCATAATTAGATGGAGTGCCATTTAACTTTCGAGTAGCTTATGGCAATGAAAGTGTGAGGAATTTATGTATAAGCCTTTACTCTTCCAAAAGATAGTGAACCCTAAGTGATTCATGGTTATTGATCATCCCTCATGGGGTGCACCGAATGTCTTTTAGCGTCGAGTCGAAAGTTGGCCCTCATGGAGGGTGACAAGCTGTCCTCCATTTGATGTGAGATCACAGGTCAGCCATTTGGTGGCATGTCGAGTGGTTTCTTTGGCCAAATAGGTACCCGAACACTATGTTGGTGCAGAATTCGGCTAGTGGCCCTAGGGCATACCCAACTTGGTGAAGAGGTAACTGAGGTTCGATTAGCGACAGTGGTTGGCTAGAGGCTCAACATGGAGCATATCAAATGGCATACCTTTAGGTGGACCCTTGCTCAAAAATGAACCATTGAAGATCTTGGAGCTTTGTTGCTTGGATACTTTTGTTGATGAATGCACATGACTAGAGAAGGCCCTTCAATTAAGCACCCAAGTTGACTAGTCCAATCCCCATTTATAGGGAGGTAGCTTTGGGCTATGTCATGTGTAGCGTTGGGTGGCTAGAGTTTTACCGTTTGACAACACATGGTTTCACTACTCATGCACTCTCTCAAATTGAAGTGTATGAAACATGAGACACTATTGGATACTTATAGCATTCTGACTAAGTCAAAGTAGATACAGATTTCCCTTTCTAGGTTGTTCATTGTGTCATGCACTTTGAGCAAACTTGAGCTCCCATGCGTAAGGAGCTACTTGTGGGTTGTCTTTGGGTTGCAGAGTAAGTCAGAGTCAGGAACAAAGACTCACACTCAGAGTGTCTGTCACTCAGAAAACATAAGCAGGTTTTATGTTTGTTTCTCTCTCCTTGATGTTGTTTTCCCTTTGTGAGTCATCCGTTGTATCATGCACTTTGCCAACTCTACACTGTAGTCTTCATGATTAGATAATTAGTGTTTCAATTTAATTTATCCCAAATGACTTGCACCAACACCAAGTGTAGCAATCATAATATGTATTCTAAAATGTTGTTGTATAGATTTGCATAATGAGATGAAAAATGGTTGCTAGTGATAGCTGAGTAGTAGTGGGACTATCACAGATGGGAAAATAGTAGGGAGTTTCCTTCTAGAAATTCTTGTTTGTTTCAAAGGGCATTCAAATAGTAATAGTAAGATTCTAGTAGTTCAAACATAGTATTTCAACTAGCTTGGTTAAAAGTTCGGTAAGCCCAATCCATTGTTCTAAAGATGACATGAAGACAACTGCTGATATCTTGTCTTGCGCCTTGAAGGATTTTATCTGTACCTTATCTTGGTCTCCCTCTCACAATTCACAAGCCTACCAAAGTTGATCTTCTTCCGCTGATTGATAAGGTGGCCGACTATCTCCCTAGTCGGAAGGCTTCTTTATTGAACAAGTCTGGTCGTTTCATCATGGTTAAAGTTGTCTTGATAGTAGTTCCCATCTATCATATGATCGCTATGGATTTACCTAAATGGATGATCAAGGCAATTGATAGATGGCACAGGGGGTTTCCTTGGCAGGGTTGGGAGAAAGCAAATGATGGAAACTGTCTCGTGTCTTGGGAACATGTCCAACGCCCCCTACAATATGGTGGTCTTGGAATTCATAACCTAGAAACTCTAGGTACATGCCCTCGGCATTTGGTGGCTTTGGGCACAAAAAGCAGATACATCACGTTCTTGGACAAGTTTGCCAATCCAAGTGCCACAAAAGGCTAGAGCTCTCTTCAATGCCATTGTAGAAACCATAGTGGCAATGGGGAATAGTTACGGGGAATAGTACCAGAGCCACTTTGGGTCGGAGGCCTCCGCCAAGGAAGCGTGGGCTGCCCTCAAGGCCATGCGTGTTGGGTCCGATCACACGAAGAAGGCGGCGCGCGGCTGCAAGCGGAGTACGACAACTTGGCGTTCCGCGATGGGGAGGCGGTGGAGATTTCTCCCTCGGGCGATTGATCGTCGATTAGCTAGCGGCGCAGTCACCTTCTTTCGACGACAAGGAGGCGGTCTCCAAGCACTGCGCGTCGTCCCGCCAAGTATACCCGGTCGCTCTATCCATCGAGGCGATGCTTGATATGTCAACCCTCACCATCGAGCACTTGATCGGCGCTTGCGGCGGTGGACGACATCGCCTGACGAGGCGGCATGTGGACGTCGGATAGCGGCAAGCTAGTGCTTGACCGAGGAAGAGTGGGTGCCCGATGCGTGGAGAAGCGGTCCGGAGAGAAGGCACTTCGATCCGGGCGGTGACGGCAAAGCGCCACGGCAAGGCCTCGAAGAAGAAGAAGGTTGAGGCGCACCTTGCGCAGGTGGACAACGACGAGCCGGTATGCCTGGCGGCGCAGCACACCGAGGAGCCGTGGCATGCCCGGTTCAGCCATCTCAGCTTCGACGCGCTTGGCTCGGCTGGAGAAGATGGTGCGTGGGCTGCCCCCACATCGAGCATGCCGGCGAGCTGTGTGACAGCAGCCTGGCGGGGAAGTAGAGGAGGTAGTCGTTTCCAAAGGCGGCCAAGTATCACGCGGCGGCCGCGCTCGCGCTTGAGCTCGTCCATGGTGACCTCTGCGGGCCAATCACGCTAGCCACGCACGGCGGGCGACGTTACTTCTTGTTGCTCGTGGATGACTGCAGCCGCTACATGTGGCTGCAGCTCCTGATGAGCAAAAACGAGGCGGCGGCGGCGATCAAGCGGTTCCAGGCATGGGCTAAAGCAGTGTTGAGGACAAATCGCGGTGGCGAGTACACTTCGGTGGAATTTGCCGCGTACTATGCGGATCAAGGGGTGGTGCGCCACCACACCGCGCCGTGCTCGCCACAGCACAACGGCTTGGTGGAGCGGCGAAGCCAGACAGTGGTGGGCATGGCTCGGTCCATGATGAAGGCGAAGGGCATGCCGGCGGAGTTCTAGGGAGAGGCCGTGAGCACGGCGGTGTTCATCCTCAACCGCGCACCCACCAAGAGCCCGAAGGGCATGACGCCGTTCGAGGCTTGGTTCAGGAGGAAGCCCGATGTCTCCTTCCTCAGGACATTCAGGTGCATCGGTCATGTCAAGAAGACGAAGCCGAACCTCACTAAGCTGGAAGATAGGAGCACTCCGACGGTGCTACTGGGCTATGAGGTAGCAAGGCCTACCGGCTGTATGATCCACGTGGAGGAAAGGTAGTAGTCTCGAAGGATGTGGTGTTCAATGAAATGGCGGCCTGGGATTGGAAGGATCCGGGCATGGGGAAGCCAGCGGCGTCGGCGGGACGTTCATCATTGATCACATGGTCATCCACGCAGGCGGAGATGCTGGAGCAGAGGAGCCAACTGTGGACACGCCAAGTCCAGCAGCTGTGGTGGCGCCTGGTGAGCCGCCAAGTCCGGCCATGGTGGGTGCGGGCGAGCAGACTCCACCGGCAGCCGCGCACACGCCTCCACCATAGTCCCCTGCTGCAGCAGGACAGGGGACACCTCCGGCAACACCAGCTGAGTTCGCCTCTCCTCCAAGCGACATCGACGATACGTGGACACCTTCCACAATGGCGAAGTGCGATTCCATAGGGTGGACAACCTCGTCGGTGACATGACGGCACTAGGCCTCGCATGTCAACTCCTCGACGATCCAGAGCTGCTCCTTGTCAGCACAGAGGAGCCACCCACGTTCACGCCAATTTACGACGAGCGATGCTGGAGGAGATGCAAGCGATTGAGAAGAACCAGACTTGGGAGCTGGTTGATCCGCCTACATGTTGCCAGCCGATTGAGCTCAAATGAGTCTACAAGGTCAAGTGGGACGAGCGCGGCGCCATCGTCAAGCACAACGCACGCCTTGTTGTTCGCAGCTTCGTGCAGCGCGAGGGCATCTACTTCGAGAAGGTTTTTGCGCTGGTGGCGCGCATGGAGTCAGTCCGCTTGCTGCTGGCCATGGTAGCGGTGAAGGATCGGTGCGTGCACCATCTGGATGTCAAGTCGGCGTTCCTCAATGGCGTGCTGGCGGAGACGGTCTTCGTTAGGCAAGCTCCGGGCTTCGCCATCGAGGGAGCTGAGCACAAGATGCTGTAGCTGTGTAAGGCCCTGTACGGGCTGCGACATGCACCACGGGCATGAAACGCCAAGCTGGACGCCACGTTGGGCGCACTTGGGTTCGCCCGCTGCGCAACAGAGCACGCGCTCTACACGTAGTGACGGGGAAGGAGGAGCTCGTCGTCGACGTGTCGTGGATGACTTGATCGTCACCGGAGAGCATGCTGAGGACATCGACGGCTTCAAGCGCGAGATGGTGGCTCGTTTTTGAATGAGCGATCTCGGTCAGCTCTCCTACTACCTCGGCATCGAGGTGAAGCAGGGGAGGGACTCTCATCTCCCTAGGCCAGTGTGCCTACGCAGAGAAACTGCTGGAGCACGGCGGCATGGGATATTGCAAGCCGTGCGCAATTCTGATGGAGGAGAGGCTGAAGCTATCAAAGAACAGCACCACGGCGAAGGTGGACGCGACACGCTACCGCACCATCATCGGCGGGCTACGCTACCTTACTCATACTCGGCCGAACATCACGTTCGCGGTCGGGTATGTCAGTCGGGTCATGGAGGATCACTAGACGGCGGTGAAGCGGCTGCTGCGCTGCGTCAAGGGGATGCTTGATCAGGTGATCATCTTCCCCAGGCACGGCAGCAAAAGTGGGCTACGGCTCACAGTCTTCGGCGCGGCACCCCCCAAGACCGACGAAGGTGAGCCAGAGCTCACGGTCTTCAGCGATGCAGACTTGGCGGGCAACATCGACAGGCGGCGGAGCACCTCTGGTGTGCTCGTCATCCTCGAATCAGCCCCGATTGCTTGGCAGTCACTGAAGCAGAAGATCGTTGCGTTGTCAACATGTGAGGCGGAGTATGTTGCAGCGGCCACCGCGGCATGCCAGGCGGTTTGGGTGCGCCGGCTGCTGGGCGAGCTGATCGGCGAGGAAGCTCTCCCGCTAGCGTTGATGGTGGACAATCAGCCCACCATCGCCCTCGCCAAGAACCCTTTCCTCCATGACCGGAGCAAGCACATCGACTTCAAGTTCCATTTCCTTCGGGACTGTGTTGATGGAGGACAGAATGTCATCGAGTTCGTCGAGACCGGCCGGTAGCTCGCTGATATCCTCACCAAGTCACTCGGACGCCTTCGGTTCACGGAGCTGAGGAAGATGATTGGCATGGCTGAGGTCAAGGCATCGGGTTAGCAGCAGGATTAAGGGAAGAATTGTAAGACATAATCTGCTGCTCCCCCCAATCTCTCTTTTGTTTGGTTGCTGCAGATTAAGATTGGCGGCTAGTAAGACTGGCAGCTAGTCAGCCTGCTGTCCTCTTGCTAGTACTGTAGCAAAATGGCAGTAAGCCATCTAGTCAAAATTGTACATGTAGTGGGCTGATAACAGCCATATCCTAGAGGACATAGGAGCTATCTGCCATGTCCTAGAGGACATAGTAGTAGTTTGTACCTTATATGGTACTTGTAGTTTGTACATATACTACACGTAAAGGGCAATGGAAGTTCAGCCATTCACATTTTCAGAAGCAGCCGAGCTGCTGTTGGTGTTGTGTGTGTGTAGTGTGTGTTTGTGCTATTCTCACCTCTTCTTCAACCTCCAGCCCAGTGAGTGTGTGGGTGTGCTGGACTCAAGGTTCGCAAAAACGTCATTAAACGTCGATTAATCATGTTTAAACACTAAACGGAGGCCCAGCGTCTCGTTTAGGGGGTAGACGCTCAATTAGACGCTGGGCGTGCCTAGGCACTCGTCTACACGCGCATCAGAGATTAAACGGCGCTGAATCGGAGAAAAAACGGGGCTACGCGCCGGAAATCGCGCGGCTCGCGCGGGCAGGGAAGCGCGCGGCGCGTGGGCGGGAAGTGCGCCTGCGCGCGGGAAAGAAGCGCACCTGCGCGTGGGAAAGAGCAGGCGGGCCCGAGCGGGAGCAAAAGTCGCCGAAGCTGCCCTTCTTCCCCTCCGCCTCGATGCGGTTCGACCGAGCGACAAGGTCGATTCCTCCACCCTCCGTGCCACCACTCTGCTCTCTCCCCCTGCCGCTCCTCCGCTTGGATTCCTAGGTTTCCCCTCCAACGACGCCTACTCCTTCCCCGCGCGTCGATCCTCCGCACCGGCATAGGTTCCTCCTTGCGCGTCGGACTGAGGACGAGCGAGACAGCGAGTTAGCCGGGGTGCCCTGCCGCTTCATCCACCCGACCGGCGAGGCGACAACGCCGCGACGGCGACCGCCGGCCCGCGCCCCTCCGCCTGCAACGGGACGTTGCCGTCCCCTCCGCCTGACGGGGTCGTCGCCTACAACAGAGGGCAGGCCGCAGGCGTAGGAGTCGACTTCGCATAGGCCGTTGCAGATGTAGGGGTCGTCGCCGCCGGCAAAGCCCCTCGGTCCTTCTCTCCAGGTGATCCCACGGTCTCCCCCCATCTTCCCATGGTCTATAGTTTTGATTTCTGCATGTGAATCACTCAATCGATGAATTGGATTGGGGATTTAGGGTTAAGATTGAATGTGTACTGCCTGTCTGCCTCTGTTGGTCCTTATTATGCTACTCTTGTTCTTGGATTGGGATTAGGATGTCGACGTCCGAAGCTGCAGCTGCTGCTGCTGCTGGGACTGCGGCAGCGGCTCCAGAAGCCGCCGAGGTTGCCTACCACCTGAAGAGGAAGTCATCTGATATAGGCTGGGAGTGGGGGCGTCTCTGTGATCCCAATGACAAGAACAGAGTCAAGTGTCTTCTTTGTGGACAAGAGAGCACAGCAGGAATTTATCGCCTTAAGCAGCATCTTGCTCATGTTGGCACATCTATTGTGAAGTGCCCAAAAGTAAGTGAGGAAATTAAGCAGAAGTGCAAGAAGAATCTTGATGAAACAGCAAAGAAAAAGAAAGATAAGCAGCAACATGATGCTACAAAGAAAAAGAATCTTGATGAAGCAGCAAAGAAGACAAAGAAGGGCAAGGATGCTACAGCCACGGTGTTGAACATTCGTTTTTGGAAAGATGTGTCCCTTTGTTTGAAGGTCTTTGAGCCCTTGGTGAAAGTTCTACGTTTGGTTGATGGGGATGTGAAACCATCTATGGGTTATGTGTATGGAGAACTTCTCAAGGCAAAGAGGGAGATCAAGGAGGCCTTTGGAAATGTAAAAAAGAACTACAGAGAAGTGATGGCTATCATTGACAAGAAGATGAAAGATAGGCTTGATTCTCCATTGCATGTGGCTGCATATATGCTGAATCCATACTATAGTTACAGCAATCCAGCAATCTTCTCTGATTCAATTGTAGGGGGAAAATTCATGCTATGTGTGGAGACCTTTTATCATGGTGAGGATGATAAGGAATATAGGGCTGTTAATGAGGACTTGGAAAAATTCCAAAAGAGACATGGATCCTTCTCCAAGAAGATGGCAAGGAGCTGTGAACGCTTTGAGTTCAATCCAGGTAAGCTTTTGCATCATTCTATCCATATTTTTTTCTGCAATCAATTCTGTCCAGATTTTTTTGCAATCAATTTTGCACATGTTTGATACATTTCACTTCATTTTATAGCATCTTGGTGGAGGCTTTATGGAGGAGGAGCACTAGATTTGCAAAGAATGGCTATTAGAATCCTCTCACTGACCTCTAGCTCTTCTGGATGTGAAAGGAATTGGAGCACCTTTGAACAGGTCAGTTTCTAGTCTCTACTAATTGTTCTCTAGTCCCAATTTAATGTACATGTGCTGGTTTTTTGTTTTAGCATCATACAAAGAGAAGGAATAGGCTGACAACAGAGCGCCTCAACTCTCTAGTATTCATCCAATTCAATAATAAGTTGATGTCCAAGAAGGAGAAGATTACCAGAAAGAGTAACTATGAAGTGCTCCTAAGTAGTGATGCTTCTGAAGCTCAAGGATTTTTCTTTGAGGGAGGGGATGATCATGCATTGGTTGTCTTTAGGGATGAGGAAGATGAGGGAGAAATGCCGGGGACTGGGATACCATGGAGTGTTCTTGGAGAAGCAATGGGAACTAATGAACAGCTTCAACCTAGGAGGAGTGCAAGAGTGGCTAGAGAGGTGCATGAAGAAGAGTGAGAGTCTGAATTTGAAGATCCTGATTATCAGGATGATGACATTGCCTTTGATGATGATGAGGATGAAGAAGCAATTCTAAACTCCTTTACATTGGCGGAGTGAGGACTTGCATGATGGCAGCATGCTGCCAAGTTATCTAAATATTAATATCTAGTTATCTACTTATCTTTAATTTGTGTGTGGACCATAAGACCATTATTGTGTGTTGTACTACTATTTAATTTTTGGACCATTAAGACACGTGATGAACTGCTAGTGTTGTCTGGATATTTTCTCGTGATCTTTTGCCTTGTGCTGCTGCCCTGATGTTTGGAAGCTTGGATGTGCATGTACAATATTGAGCTACCCCTCGTAGATAAGTTTCTACTCTTTCCCTATTATTTGATTGTCTGGTTTTCAGATTATTAACTTGTCTCTCTTTAATGGTTAGCTGCTACTGGATGCAAGAAGCCAAGGAGAAAAGAAGCCAACAAGTGTGCAACAACAGCAAGAGGTATGTTCACTACTTAGCAGTGTTATTACTTAGTACTTACTACTAATCTTGCTCTCAGCAGCACAAAAATAAAAAAACACACATAAACGATTAATCACGTTTAATCTACGTTTAATCCTCCTAGGCGCTAGTCAGTAGGCTAGCGCCTGCCTAGCGCCTAGCGTTTTCTTGAACATTGGCTGGACTGCTGGTAAGCTTGCTGCTTACCTGTGCAGGGAGATCGAGAGCCAACAGATCAGACATGCTTATTTGTTTTTACTCTAGTTGTGCAGCTTCTTAGAGAAGAGCTTCTCTTCTCAAACATTGCCAAAAGACCTTGCTGGTCGCTCAAGAGGAGTCTTTGCATATATGCTGGCAAGAGCTTCCTTCTCACTACCCGTAGTAGTTCTAGTAGCTAAACTAGCTAGGTTGTGTCGTTTCATAAGTTTGTAAATAGGCACTAATGTAATTTTTACACAATGTTGTGTATGGATGTGTTGATTGTTTCTCTATTAATAATGCAAAGATTCACGACTCCTCTGCAAGTTCGAGAAGAATTTAATAAATTACTGCATGGTTTTAATTAACTAGGTTTCACAATCAGGTTCTGTAATTGTTGAGTGTGTCTAAAATGCCAGAAAACTGTCTACTTTAGTGACTAATTAATTTGTACTTTCCCTTGACTCATACTCGTAAACCTCATAAGGAGTAGACAATAGAAAAGTTTGAACCAATAGAGAATTTGCCCTTCTGATTTCTGTTAGGACCTTTCTATGAGCCGACTATTTTGTTGAAAACCAACCATCATCCTGACATGCATGCAGGTCGGCTCCTATATGATAGGATATGTTGCATGAGTGTTCAGGTGCAGAGGCGACTTGTCTCTTCTATGCATTATATTTAAATTATTTATTTATTTGTGAATGATGTTAAGAAAATTTTGTGATATTTACTGTTGTTGGATTATACATGGAAAGAGTTTCTGGCCACTGGCTTACACATTTTAAAGACTTTCTTGGCTCATGCCACAAGAGTGTTATACTGTGATGGATAGGAAATAAATATTATTGCAAGATGCGGTACTTGAAGTGAAAGTGCCATTTCTATTTCTACATTACCAATACAACTTTGAAAACAAACTTCAGAGATGTAGATAAATTATGTGTCTTTCTAATAATATATGTGAATATATTGTATGTTGTAAATTTTCCAGGAAACAGGGTATTGTTTTGTTTCCCTCACCGAAGTCAATGCCAATGGTAAATTAGTAAATTGCACACTACACTATCCAAATTAGCATATATTTCGCTAGACATCAGATGAGGATGGAGAAAGTACTACAAATTATAAAATTCTTGAATCAAACAGATAATTAGACAAATTTCATACCTGTTGTTGTTAAGGTGGTCTTTTTGATCCTTGGTAAGCTGCCGGCCATTTGATGTTAGTGGCGACGGAATCTCAAGATTCTGGTGCATCTCCTTTAAGAGCTTCATGGGATGCTTGCCCTCAGCTGAGACCCATGTTTGTATCTTGGATTTCGTGCCTTCCTTGCTGTCGAATTTCGTGCCGACCTCGCTGTTGTACAACTCTTGGGCAAGAACAGTCTTCCCCGATCCACAGAAGCCAACTATGGTGATTACCTTCAACTGCTTCAGCTCTTCTCGTTCGGACAAGTGATTTTTTAGCTCCCCCAGGGGCACCTGGAGGCCGACCAGATCTTCAGGAGGGACGTAATACTCCGAGGACGACAAAGGCAGTGCAGGACGGGACACATAGTGTGCCTCCTCCAATTGCTTCCTTAATCGCCCCATCTGCTTGCCCAACTCTGTAAATGATTTTTTCTTCTTGATAGGTTTATGTATATGGTACTGCGGCAATTGCTGTTTCCAAGAAGCAAGGTATGTGATGCAATCAATGCAGTCCTCCATATCATGAGCGATTTGTCGTAATTCTTCAACCGACAAACGCAGTACATGGTCGTCCTGCCCCGAGAGCTGCCCTTCTATGGCACAAGTGATCATGGGAAGCTCCCTCCCTAGGAAAGTAGCATCATCTTGGAAGGCCTCGTACTTCTTGTTGGCCTTGTCCCATAGCGATAACAACCTAGGGACAAGAGTTTTTATTCACACGGTCAACACGGAAGCTGACGCGGTCAACACCGCAGCTTCCATTGATCTCCTGTTCAGAACTTGTTAACTGGCATTTCTTTGCTGCGAAATTGGAAATAAGAAAGTTTCCAAAAATAAAAATGTTAATAATCCACAATTTTGCCGAGCACGAAGGTAGAGCAAAGTCTTATTTCTACCCAAAGTATTTCTCAAGGAAGAACAAGAGAATTGATACAAGAAAATTGACTACAATGGGTGCCGCACTAAAACTAACAAGTGCCAGTGCCAGAACTAATATGCAAGTTATGTACAGAATTAGATCCGGTAGTTATTTTCAGATTCGTTCATTGATTTATTATACGGGGTTAGGCATTTGGGCTCCTCTGGCCTGGTTTTGATATAACTAAGATACGAATTGTCCTTGTTTAGTTTAAGAATGAATTTGTGAATTGGATCAAACCAGTTACAAACTAACAAACTTTCATCAACTCTTTTCTTACAAACTATACACTGGATCCACCACACCAATAATAGATGCAAATCGAATGGAAAAGAAAATCCAGTAACCTCACAAATTAAACATTGCCTCACAAATGTCTTGAGCAAATAATAAGATTGGGAATGTACAAATGGGCAGGGCTTCAGACGAGAGACAACATAGTAATCCAATACACCTCCGAGTGGAAAGCGAATGAAACTAGCAAACTATGATTAATACATGAACTTATTCACCCCAGAGGTCAGATCCATAATAGATCTCTATTTAAGCATACTCGATAGTGCAAGCAGAAGCCAAGGACGCACCTGCCGGCTACGATGCTTGCTGGAGCTCACTGATAAGGCCGGAGGGGAGGTAGACGACTCTGACTGGGACTTGGGAGAGAAGCACTCATTAGAATGAAGGAGCTCTCTCATGTCAGAGCCAGGGAGCTCTTCCGACTTCCATTGTTTCTATGCCTCGCTTCTTTTTTTTCTCTTCTTTTGTAGGTCAAGTCTTGCTCCTTTGTCCTTTCTGCTCCTTAAATGATTGTCATTTTGTTTGTTAGACCATTCAAAGTTGCCGGCCGCGTCGACACCGATAGTATCCATATATTTCAATTATACGAGGGACTTAAGCGTTTCTAGCCATGTTTTTAAGTGAAATGGTGATTTTACTTTTATTTTTTTAACTTTGTGATTTTATCCTAGAAATTTCAAAACAAAGGCAGATTTTACCACTGCTGTGTGAAGTCTCTCTAATGGTGTTAACTTTAGGACCAAAGGACAACTTTGCTCATGCGTTTTTACCCATGTTTTATTTTGATATTTGTGTTTTTACCTCTATTTTCATATCAGTAATTTAGCAATTTTGACACATAATTATACAATTCAATCAGTGCAAAACTCAACAAGTTTTAGATTTTTTTTAAGAGACAGGAGGGGCTTGTGCCCCTACTGAATTTATTAGAAAAACCAGGAAACAAAAAGTACAAGCAAAAAGTCTAGGCTTACAAACAGGGAGTTCAAGAGACGAAAAAAAGGAAGTAAAGAAGATGAGCTCAATTACACAAATTGATCTAGCCATGCATGTACTAATAAGAGGTAGATATTTTTTCTTCGCACGAAGGATAACTAAGCCAAAGACGTTCTTGAAGACATGCCTGCATTTCTGAATGGTTGCTTCCTCACCCCTGAAGATTAAACCATTTCTCACTGTCCAAATGCTCCATCACATAATGATGATTATTTTCATAAAGAAGGAGACGTTGAGCTGAGCTCTGAAAGACTCCAGGATCTGGAATGGTCCTTAGTCCTAGGGGACAGTTAAACCAACCAAGTTCCAGCAGGCTTTTGCAAAATCACAGTGCAGGAATAAATGGTCCACTACCTCTTCTACCAAATAATCACAAAGAACACAATCAAATAAATTCCAGATGCATACTCTTTCTTCTCAGTAAGTTCCTCGTGCTGAGTCTGTCCTGTGCTAGAGTCAAAAGAATACCTTATGCTTATATTGGCTCCGTTCGCTTCGCTAAAAAAATAAGCCTAAACACTATTCTGGTTGATTTGTTGTGAGAGAAAAACATTGTTCCGACTCAAAAAAAAATAAGCTAAAAAGTACAAATTATAAGATAAACGAACAGGGCCATTGACAGGAAAATTTTCATATCCATCTGAAGACCAGATGCGTTTTAGATATTTGTTTTGGGATATGTCAGTTACAACAGGAAAAAAAGAAAGAAAACAGAGCATATTATCTTCATGCTTGCTTGTCTTGGCTCATCCAAAATCAAATACTTCCTCCATCCACAAAATAATACAATTCTCATATTCTGAGAAGTCAAACAATTCAAACTTTGACTAGAATTATATAAAAAAGTACCGACACTCATGAAACAAAATAAGTATCATTATATTAGTTATATAATATATTTTTA